AATGGGTGGTGAGGTAGATGCCCAACAGATTAATTTTATTATAAATGGAACTGTCTGAATACGAGGTAGGGGGTGAGTGTCGGGATATAGTTGCGGAAAAGGAGTCTCGGTAGTGTCTTTTTTCCACATGTTTCATGTTTCCGAATTTGGGAGTGGGAATCATCGTTCTACCTAAAGTAGTGCGCTGCTAATCAAATTTTCGTTTTGGGAAATTCAAATCGCCATGGCATCCCTTGTCCCATGGTAAGATTAAATCAACGACCGGACATTAGTCAGGGTCCTTCAGTTCGCGGATAACGCACGACACAGCCAAGTTGCCGACAACACTAGAACGTTACATTGTCAAATGAAATTGTCCGTAACAGTCGAGTAGAGCAGAACATGCTTTGGAAATAGGAAGGATACTCCTCTGTCGAATGCCCAAAAACTCTCCTTAACCTCATTCTACATTCGTTGAGGATCTACACATCGAGAGATCAAGTGATTTAAACGAAAAAATGAAGACATGTCACATTAGTGATCTAGAGATTGCGGTCCTGTCAAGGACGGTTTATAGAATTTCTCAGACGATCATTTTTGCGTCCAGCAGCATAGCGCAACTGCCACTGCCATTACCGTCGTTACTCTGAGCCACCCTCTGCTGGAGAAATATGAACGGCAATTCCACGTGGGGGCGATTGGTTGACAGAATTCTGAGGAACTGTTTCGCGCTTACATCAGAGCGGCCTGAACAAATATTTCAGAAAACCTGACAAAGTAATTATGTATCACTGAACTGTTATGCCGCCTTCATTCACGGTGACAGTAAAGGTAGAATACCGACATTTCAGAGAAATCGGGCGAGTTAACATTGCTATGGACATTTTTGTAAATATCCTCCAGGACTACTTTACTTCCTTAAGGAAACCATGGACATGTACCAAGCAGGACAGCTTTTGCCCGAGAAAGACTGCGTCGACGATATTAGGGAGGGATAGAGAGAGAGAGTATTCATTTGCTGTCAACAGACGTACCTTCCAGCAGACCGCAGATGTTTGTAGCATGCTGCGAAAAGTACATGACATGAGTTTCCACAGAAAAAATAAGCTCGTGGTGGAACAAGTGAGTAGTTTGCCTGCAACGCTGTTACCCTGAAAGGTGTGTCGTCTTACTAGTTCTCTTAAAATATGCAATGGCCTCCTTTATATTAAGCGCAATCCGCATCTACGTTAGCCCCCAGGTAGTACGAAATCGTCTAGATTTGGAAGCGAAACTTCCGAGGGCATCGCTCTCTCTCTCCCTCTTTAGGAATACCTCCAAATAATGTCATCCAGTCCCCGACTATACTGACTTCCTTCCCGAGCATTCGACCTGAGCACCATAAAAACTTAAGATGCCGCCCACTTTTACTAACTAAGTGAACCGTCTTCAATCGGTATAGAGAAGTAACCCAGCTTAACTGTCAGTAGCCTGTGGATCGTGTCATATGGGGTTTTATATTGGCATGCATTTGCAGGCTGTTGCAGAAATCACACTGCCAGCAAAGATTACTTCCCACGACCTCACACCATAACTCAAAATCCGTTATTTTGTGAAATATACTTTTTGTTTATTGTTTAATTACTACTCTCATCTCCGTTTTGGCAAAAATCCAGGCAATTTTTGTGTTTTCTTTCATTTTGTCCGCTTACTGTCTAGCTTACTGCCCCACTCATAAAACTCCCTTTACCATAAATCTCGTATTGCACAATCCGCAGTCCACTGACAGGTAATTTGAGTTCTTCTCTGTACCGTTACCGAACCGTCTATTATAGAAACAGACCGCTGATGCACCAATATAGACAGATTATTAACTAAAATGAATCTCATTGTAACGGTCTTTGGCATGCGAGATTCCGTCTACTATGTTAGGTCGAAGTTGACCAGTTTATTTATTTTAATGGTGCGAGTAGCGCATGCGGGATTTTCCGCACTGTCTAGTGTAGGTCTGTTGAAGTCATCTGTTGTTAGGCCAGCCGTCAATGTAAAATTAATTTCCTCCGTGAACCTAACGTACTTTTGCAAATACAAAGCCTACTCACAATATCCCGCCGTATTCGGGGCCTGTTAGATGACCTTTCGTAAAAAAGCAGTATGTCTAGAGTGGACGCCTTTAATTTACCGTTAACCACATCAAAAGGAATGTCTGTTTCTTTAGGAATTAATTAGTCTTCTTTGCACCGTAAAAGTACATACGACCGGTCTTGTGGTGATCGTGAGCAGTTTTTCTCACACAACCAGACAGCGGCACTGCCTTACTTTCCGCGCTAAGAACTTACTCAGACATAAGTTTACGTAGTTGGGCACTGAATGACGCCTCCAACGAGTATTCTAAGGGCAAGAATTCGGGACAATTCCTCAGTTAACTATAGACCACATGTCCCACAGACTGCCACTTTTTTCTTCAATGTTACTAAGTCCGCAAACAACAAACAGAAGGCATCGATGGACTCCCCTTTGCCCCTGACTTCTGACTTGAGATTCTTCGTGTTGTCGAACACACCACCTCAACAACACTACGGGTAAAGCACGGATCCCGGCAGAAGTGTATCCAGCGAGTCGCAAATTTCTACTTCATTTTCAGGTTTGTTAACGAAAATTCCCGAAATTGTGTTTGAAGCGTTTATCAGATGACGTTTACCTAAATATGTCATTCATTTGGAATGCGGTAACCGACAGTTCGACCGTCGTTGCCGACGACTTCCACTGTGTGACCTACAGCTAAGTAGGTGCAGGCAGGGGACATGAGCGTGAAAAAGTTTATAATGGGAGTAGATCTGCACATCATTTACCGCACTCTCTCCTCCTCCAGTCCCACCTCAACCCGACGTTAAGATATAGTCAAGAAGACCAGAGGCGAGAGAAGGCACCGATTACTGACACGACAGGACGTGCACCTAGACATACTACCACACCCCCGGTTCACAACGAACACTTTACCAGGATTTTAATCAACAACAGCGGGCCAAAAAGGGGAAGATGACTGGGCTACCACACACACACACACGGTCTGCATACCCAGCTGGAGTGCAAACGCATTCATCGGCAGGGTACCAGCTGCTAGAGAACTGTCAGCGCACACCAACCTGCGAGAGCCATGGTTCGTTTAATCACGATAACAGACTCATACAATCTATTGGGCCCAGAAGTGTGACAGGCAGTCCTGCACTCAGCCTGGGCCACCACCCTTCAAAGGTCGGGTAACCAATCAAGCATCGACTGAGAGGCATTACCCATAAAACACAGACACTCTCTTCACATGCGCGAGGCTGCCAGAGGTCTCGTTAGGAAGAAACCATTGCAGTCTAACCCTCAGCTCATCAGTCCGCCGTCCCACACAAACACACAGGCGATAGTTCGACGTTCGAGTTGGACGATGGTCACCGTGTGCTCCTCTGCAACGTGAGGGCAGGGACGGGGACTGGAGCGTGAATCAGCTCATAGTGATAGTAGACTTGCGCAATATCCACTGCACTCTCTCTTCCTCATTCCCTAGCTAGAACCGGTGTCAAGACAGAGCCAAGAAGACCGGAGGTGGGGGGAGAGCGCAGGTTGCTGGCACGGTCGGAGCCGCATCTAGGCGGGCCACCAAATCCCCTGGTTCACACAGCAAGTGACCAGGACTTTTTTCGCCAACAACAACAGCACCCTAACAGGTGTCAGAAGGACGATGATGACTGGGTAGCCATGCCCACCACCTGTGTACTTAGCGGGAGTGTTAGCCCCTCTACCAGCAAGGAACCAGGTGTCAGGGAACCGTCGGCACATACCAGGTTGTGAGCGTCATGGTTTGCTGATACTGACATAGCACATGCGTACAGACCTTTTGAACTGGAAGGGCGACACGTGATCCTGCATATAGCCTGGACCGTCAGCCTTCAAGGTTAGACAGCCAAGCAGTCTTCGACTGGGTCGTCGAGTGAGAGGTACTACCCCTAATGTGCACACTCTCCTCGCATACATGAGTGTCACAGATTGCTTGAGAAATGGCCATGACAGTCTGGCTCTCAACTCACCAGTCCGCAACTCCACACACACACACACACACGCGCGACAGTTCGACCGTCCGTTTCGACGATGTCCACCGTGTGCCGCACGGCAGGGTAGGAGCAGGGACGGGGACTTGCGCGGGGTCTATAGTGCCAGTAGACTTGCGCTGCGTCTACCACACTCTCTCCTTCTCTCCCACCTCAGCTCGGTGTCAAGACAGAGTCAAGAAGGCCTGAGATGAGGGAGGCCGCAGGTGGATGACACGGTCAAACCCGCACCTTGGCGATCCACCACACCCCCTGGTCTACACAACAAATAACCAGGATTTTGACCAACAACAACAACAACAACAAGAGAATGGAGGCTGGCACGACCGAAGCCGCACCTAGGTGTGCCGCCAACGCCCGGCTCGGATCCCACACATAGTAGTGTAATAAAGGACACATTAAGAAGGAGCCATTGCAGCCTGACTCTCAGAGCACCAACCGACCACTCCACAACTGCAGCACACACGACACTGGACCGACTGCGAGGTCCAAGTTACCCCGTCAGTTGGCAACCTTCCAAGCCACGGCTTTTAGCGCACCGTGATAGCTTCAAGCGCGTCAGATTGATTATAGTGAGGAAAATGCGCTGAGTCGTCCACCTCATTCTCCATTCCCATTCCCATACCTAGCCCCTGTCCAAGCCGGTCAGCAGACTGGGGCGAGGAATGGGCGCGATGACTGACATGGTCTAGTGACCTTGTCTGCGCGCGCCACATACACGACCTGGCCCCCAAACACAAACGCCAGGATTCCACACAACGGTGGTTGAGCGGCATATCTCTCACATGCGTGAGAGTGCCATGGAAGGAGCTATATCGGCTTGTCCCACGGTCCACCAGTCCGCCACTCCACACGAACACATACAACTGGAAGGACTTCGTGGGCTAATATGGGACGTCAGTCAGCAGCCTTCCTATCCACGGCGCTTGACGCGTCGAGATAGTCTCAGGCTCGGGTCATCCATGCAACAGGAGCCGCATAGAAACCGAGTCGAGATGCACACCTCCCAATTGAGTGGGAGGTGGCAGTTGGGTGCTTGCGGTGGGTGATGTTAATGAGCGGTGACACGGCGGTAAGAAGGAATGTGGTGGTGTAGTGCAGCCGGTGGTTCTCTACCGCAGGTTTTCGTGAATGCGCATGTGGCCGAATAGACCCATGCGGTGCATGAATGTGAGAGGGCAGTGTGGGCAGTGGAGGCTGGTGCGGGGGGGTGTAGGTTGGTGCTCTAGGCACTGGTTTGCCGGTCACTGTGCCATGGATTCGCAAGTGAACGACCAGGCTGATGTTTGAGGTGAAGGTGCGGTCGCAGTGAGGGCAAGTGTAATCCTGGTCTTCACCGCTGGTGTCGGCGGTGGTGGTGTTGGCGTTCGAGGAGGTGTCAGGATTGTTTGCAGTGTTGATGAGCATGGCAGGCGTCACAAATACAGGCGTTGGAGCAGTGGGGGGAGGAGGATGACGAGGAGGAGCAGAAGCAGAAGGAAGGGAAGGAGGAGGAGGAGCAGGAGGAGGAGGAGGGAGGATAGAAGTGGTGGTTCGGGATGGCGGTCAACGTCAGTTGACCGCGTAGAATGCGAGGTAGGGGTGGACGCAGAGATGACGGTTGGTGCAGTCCGAGTGCTGCAGTTGGTCGAGGGTGCCCAAAATGACCAGTTGGCGCCCGGAATGTCCGCCGACACCGTGGGTACGTTGGGGGCGGTTGAGCGTTGGCTCGGAGAGGTGGGCGCGGTTGAAATTTTCAGGCTTTTCGTCTGGCTTTTGCGGCGGCAATGTGGTTTGCCTTATAGATCACTCCGCCTGTCTTCATTGTCCTCCCCCACGTAGGTCATTATCCAACGGGGTCTTCCCAGTTTGCGGGGTTAATCAGCAGACGCTTCAGGGAGGTCATCAGAGTGTCCTTTTATCCTCATTGGCGTCGGGAACCCGTGGTGACATCACCAAGGAAGAGTCGTTTGGATAGCCTCTCGTAGTCCATCCGCACAAGGTGGCCACTAGAGCGAAGTTGTAGTTGTCTCAGCATAGCGCAGATGCTAAGAATTCCCGTCGGCTCCAGTATGACCCTGTCAGGAATCCGGTCCTGTCACCTCAACTGCAGGAATGCGATCCTGCCAGTTCAGCCTCAGGATGCGACGGAGACAACTGAGGTGGAAGTGGCTGGGTCGGAGTGCCTGCTTCGTGTACACCGTCCACGTTTCTGCTCCTCACAGCAGCATCAGGAGGATGACAGCCTTGCACATTTTCAGCTTCGTGCTCAGCTAGAGACTATGATGATTCCAAACTGTGATTTAAAGGCTTCCGAAGGCTTGACTGGCTTTTGAAATCCTTCGGGCGATTTCGTCATTGATTTTGGTACTGCGGGAGAGGATGCTACCCAGGTACGAGAAGTTTTCCACCACTTGCAGTTGAGGTCCGTTCACGCTAATCTGCGGCGCATTGTGTGGAGGGGCTGTGTTAGGCGGCGGTTGATGCATGACCACCGTCTTCTCGATGTTGATGATCAGGCCGGAGTTCTCGCAGGCGGCAAAGAAGAGGCCCATGCTCCTTCGCATGTCTTCTTTAGTAGTTGCATTGAGAGCCCAGTCGTCGGCGAAGAGAGGTTCGTGGACGGTGGTTGTGGATACATCCGCCGTTGATTGAGGAGGTGGCCGTCCGTCCTGTAGACGATGCGAATCCCCGGGCGTTCGTCACGGTGGACGTCTAGCAGCACGGCAGATAACATAAGACTGAAAAGGGTGGGCGCCAGGACGCATCCCTGCTTCACTCCGTTGGTCACTGCACATGCCTCTGAGACAGCTCCGTTGTCCGTGACGAGCGCCATCATGCCGTCGTGGAGCTGACACACCATCTGAGTGAATTGGTCTGAACGGCCGAACTTCTGCATGATTTCCGACAGTCCTTCATGATTCACCGTGTCGAAAACTTTCGTCAGATTCCCAAAGGTTGAGTACAAGTAAGTCCGCATCTCTTGGCGCTTCTCCTGAAGTTAGCAGACGGATAAGATCGTGTCCGTGGTCCCACGTTGACGGGGGAAGCCACACTGGCTTTCCGGCAGAAGACTTTGTTCCAGGTGATTATTCAGGCGGTTGAGGAGGATGCGACCAAAGAGCTGGCAGTTTCCTTTCCGCTTGTATAAATGCACGATCGTGGCGTCTTTGAAATCCTGCATCGCATCTTCGAGATAACCAGGCGATTGTCAGTCCACTCGTCAGCACCCGGGATCGCCTCTGTCACCAGCACGTCCTTCTGGTCTCGCCCCTGGACAAGGAAATAGTCCAGCAGGTGCGGTGTCGTGACCGAGGGTGCATCCAGATCACCTTCCGTATCGGATGGCAGAAAAAAAATGTTGTTCATGATGAGCCGATGTTCTGCAAAGATTCGCAGGAGGAGCAGGCCATTGTCATTGAAGGCGTCGAGACCATGGGAACCCAACATTCCTCTCCGGGCAGCATGGTCTATGCTGACGCAGGTATCGAAGTCGTCAAGGACATTCAACTTATCCACCTTCGGCGCAGACGCCAGGAGTGCGTTCAGGTCCTCGTAAAATTGGTTCCCTGCTGCGTCAGACCTGGTGGCGCATTTGCCTCCCCAGATAGGCAGGCGGTGGCTCATCAGGCGATCGTTGATGCCTTGTGGCAGATAGGGCAGTCGTCCACCGACGTCGTTCTGGATGGCAAAGACGTCGACCGCGTCCCGTCGCTCTGCCTTGAAGTGACCGTTCCAGAAGAAGGTGCAGCCTGCACTCGCCTCCTCCAGTTGGCCTTCTTCGGAAAATCGGGTCTCGCTAAGTGCGGCGATGTCCAGCTTGTAGTGCGCCAGTTCTCGGGTCACTAGCGCTGTCCTCCGTTCCGGTCGGTTGTTCCTCGGATTGTCTAAAAGAGAACGAACATTCCAGGCTGTCAGGGTGAGCGGACGCAACTTAACAGCCTGTGGGATGGTGCGAAGGCGAGGAGGAGGAGGAGGAGGAGGAGGAGGAGGAGGAGGGAAGAGAGAGGTTGTTGTTTCTAGTTTGTTTTTCCGACTGCAGCTATTGAAGCCTGCGTGCCATAGTCTGCGCGCAAATTTCGTGAAGCCAGCTTTGTTGATAGTGCTCCACCTGGCAGGAGTAAGGAGTGCTTTCCCTAAAGTGAGCTGCTTTGTCGTACCAAACGGTGGACGCTCTCCACTGTAGTTTACGCATTGGTTTGGTAAGGAAAAGGCCCGATTGGCCTGGTCCGCCTGCGTGCTTGCATGTCGTCCTCACCGTAGGAATTTGCGACCGTGGAGAATGAGAGCAGAGTACTGAGTAGACAGGGGAAAAGAAGGATATGGTGCGTTGCATGGGGGCTGGAATGATGGGAGTTGGAGTGGGGAGGGGCGGAAGAGAAGGGTAGAGTGGAAGGGGAAGAGAGCAGAGTTAGCGTGCGAGGAGATGCAAGCACGGATACCCTCACATGGCTAAACCCGCTGGTCGAGGCGATTACCGGGGTGTGGCCGCCAGACGGTGCCTAGTCTTGGGAAGCCACATGTGAGAGTCGGGTGCCTGTTGATGGACGCTATGCGAGGTTAACACCCACATGCAAGTGGGCGAGTTCCTACGAACATCAATTGGACTCCAAACTGGACCCCTCAAAATCGCAAAAGGCAACAGACACCATCAATTCTTTTAACCCTCATTGCCACACGTAGGCGTGTTTTCAAAACCTTACATCTGGGTACCAAGATGCCCAGCATGCGTCGTCCAGCGGGCCTCGTAGCTCAGATGGTTAGAGCGTTGACTATACTAAAGCCTTCACCTTACTTTCGTGGATTTGAATCCCACCGAGGCGCCGGGTTTTTCACAGTTGGGCCAATATGAATTCACGGGGACCTTTGGGAAACAATCCTTATCTTGTTTGATATTAATTATATGTTGCAAAATATAGTCCGGAATGCCATGACATAAGTTCATCCACACACCACTTTTTAACTCGGTTTCACCTCATTCAAGGCAATCCGATATGATATTTCGAGGGGAAACGAAAGCCTTCTATCGTTTCGTCACAAACGAACAAATAAAAGTGCATTTTTACGGCCTTATGTCATAAATGGATAGATGTCGCGTCTGACAAATAGCTCGGAATATGCGGGAGTGGGCTTTTACCTTCTTATTGCTTTCCAGCTGCTTTCACCACAAATTCTAGCATCGTTTTATCACTTTTTGCCGACTTACTGTGACCGCAGCACGCAAACCAAGTAGGAATTTGCTCACCTGTGGATCTCTCAGCGTTTCTTACATGCAAGTACTCAAATTGTTTAATGCCGAATATTTTTGTTTCCTCGGAAATGAATATGTGAAATTGGGATAAAGTTATTGGCTCGTCCTTCGCAGGTTCAGAGAAAGTTGATACGAATATCTGAGCCAGATCATGCCCTGTGAAGTATTGCAGAATTAATTTTGTTTGCTAAATTCGATGAATTGAAAAAACAATATTAAGGATCGAAATAGTCCACGTTGGCAAGTTATAACGGATCTCGATGAATTCAGTCAAATCATTAAAGAACGGTATTTAAATACCCCGAAATAGACTATAAGTGTACTTCAGTCAGCAAATCGAAGAGTAAATGATTAATTACTCTTTTCATACCTTTCATTTGAGGAAGTTAGAGCGTTAGGTGTACTTAACTCATGCTCTTATTGCCGTGAGCTCGAATGGCACCAAGGTCACCGAGTTTTTCACAAATGGGCCGGATAAAATATTAAACAAGTTATTTCAGGAAACAAGAAGTCTCCTTCTCACTCTTTACATCTGTGGAGTATCGATGACTTTCAAGAAGCCGAAACATCATTTGCCTCAGAGCGGATGTTGAACCTAAATCTTCGGCATTTCGACCTTGTCCAACGTCTGAATCGAATCGTTGTCTCAAGAGTAAGCTAGTGATTATCTTTCTTCGCCGAAACGAAGCGTCGAATAGGGTCCGCTAAGCGTTATGAATCGAACTCTTTCTTCAGTCAATTGTCTTTAATCCGTAAACGCCCAACTTCGTACACTGAACTCGAACCACACTAATAGTTTCACTAGGCTTCAGAATCCTCAACATGTATAACTTATCATTTTGTGAATTACGTCGGGGAACAGGTTCCGCCTAGTTTAGCTGAAATGGAGAAAAGATTGCGGAATAAATTTGCATGCGAGTATTCTGTTCACTTGAGAAAATACCGACACCGCGAGGAAATTCTCAAGGGGCCAAATTCTGTACTCTCTTTCTCAGCCTGTTATGCGACTCTGTATAAAAATAAATTTCGCCCCTGGTGGACGCTTTTTCTTCCCTGCGACACATGAAAGTGTAGGTTTAAGTTTTTCAGGAATTAGTTAACCTCCCCGTTCAGATCGTACAAGTGGTAAGGTCCGATTTTTGCTATTCTTGTGCATGACCTGCTCAGTTTAAACAGAGAGTTCTACTTGGCTAGCTCGAGCGCGAACCAAAAGTTCGCCCAGAAAGCTACGGACTTCATGGCTGACAGGCAACTTAATCGATTTTTCTTGAGTGATGACTTCATGCTAGTTTGCTTTGTCGTTTTACTCAATCCATACGCCAGTCGCTTAACTAAAGGGCTAGATTGCAGTTGGTGGCCAGGAATGGGGAAGCGGGTGGCGACCTTAGCCCTAATCCTAACCTTAACCCTAACTTCAAACTTAAACGTCAACGGTTAACCCTAACGGCAACTTTACCCCTAAGCCTAACCGAAATCGTAAATGTAACCGTAGCCCCTAGTCATAGTCGTAACTGGAAAACCTAACCGTAATACTGAAACCTAATCGTACGCTCAAACCCTAATCGTAACCTGAAAACCTAAGTCTAAATGCATAACCCTAACCCGAAAATCGAAAACCACTAACCGGTACTCTAATCCTAACCTCAAACGTAAAAGGGAAGCCAAATGGATCAGATGTGATTATGGAACCCCACAAAATAGCCCCAGCAAACAAATCCCCTAGCCACCTGTAATACGGGGCCTGGCTACCAACTGCAATCTAACCAACTAACAACAACTTACTCAAAACTAAATTAAGGAAAGGCGCGTACACATACACGCACGTGAGTAGTCACGTGCACAGTATTCACCGGAAGTCATGAAGCATTGACTGGAATCTGTAACCATGTTTTCGGAAACAGAAAACGCTTTCCCTCGAAGCGTGGGACAAAACATATGTATAGTCGTGGGAAAAAATCCGCAGTTAGGGCATGCACATTGGTATGCCAGTCTCTGACTGATTATTCAAGTAGCCGGGGTGCCGAGCACACTCAAAGAAATGTCGTCTGATGCAGATAGTTCGTAAACTTGAACAAGCAAGCACACTGTCCACTCGTCGGAAGTCCATTCGACTGGTCTGCGTAGTCCTGTGGATTACAAGGCAGGTCACGACGTTAAACAGCCATGTCAGCGAGATGCAGTCGGCCGTAATGACCCGAAATCCAGTGGGACTGTCGGTGACTGCTAGGCAGATACGATTAGCCGGCGGCAGGCACTTTAGGGGTGGGGAAGGAGAATTGGCAAAGACATGGTTTTGGCACCGATTAATAATCACCTGGTCGATGTGTGGCCCAATTTTACGTCAGTCGCGCTGGTCCTTTACTCACGCTGCTCACTCAAACCCAATCAAGGTATCATTAAGCACTTAACAATATCCGGCAGAGTGACCCTAGTGGAAAAAACAGAAATCCTGTCTTTACTCATCACTGAGTGTCAGTCGACGGGAAAAATCTTGCTTGCATAAGTTCACAAGCTCACGTGTGATATTTCAGTTAGACATTTAGCGAGGAAAATGAGCACTGAATGTCAGTGAACATCTTAAAAAGAGAAACCAGAAGGAAGGGAAACAGATGTTGAGGAAGCTGCTGTTGAGGAGTTCTCCGCAGTATCGTCAGGTGATTTGGCCAGCCACTTAATCGGTCTGGTGTGAACCGAGCTGTAGGAGACCATTATGCGCAGAAATTGCCCACGTTTATCGAAAAGTTAAAAACTCACTTCTGTCAGGCACAAAATCTGAAGACGACATAATTTCCTGTAAGAAGGGACTGAATAGAAAATTTGATTTTGGGAATTTTTATGGCGAACTTGATTAAATTATAAAGGCATCAAACACCCGTCTGAAAATGCACGTCAATATAATATTGGTTTTTTGGAGGGTAGTCTACAGGAATGTCCGAAACTATGCTCATGCAAAAGCCGGCATGGTACCACATGCCAATTCACCTGGTTTTGTGTACCCTGACAACTAGGTTTGGACGCTATTGGAAATAGTAGTATCTTTTTTACTTTTCATAATAGGACTTACTGTTGCTTAAATACTGGAAGACGTCTGGTGTGTTTATCTGCAGTTAGGTACATAAGCTAGACTGATGGCCGGCATTATCTACGCGGTCAAGTTTCGCGCAGCGCAAACATTTCCCTGCGAGCAGTGTTTGCGGTAGTTACGGACAGAATCCTTGTCTTTTCAAAATTCGCATCTTCTGTCAGAAAATACTAATAGGGCAGGATAAGATACTGTCATTCGACACAGGGCTTAGTATTGGCCATTAAGTCGAGAAGGATATCCCAGCGATTAACTGAGTCTTCGTCCCTGTTTTTTGCTGGGTGTGGTTTATGAGAAATAATCTAACAAATGACCACTAAACAAAGACGAACAAATGAGCTCTGAGTTACACCTCAATTTCTAGAGAGTCGACTGAGCTTTCCAACCAACGCTGAATGAACTAAAACCTTCTTTATTCAGAAAATATTTGGTAAGGAGTAGGTAGAAATCGGAGAATCCAGAAGTAACAGAGAATTCTGAGGGAGATGTAAGGACGACATATATCTCAAAAGTAATTTCAAGTCTAGTGACTTCTTGGAGTGCGTTGGATAGTTCGTAGGGATCAGTTACCATGGCACCTTTAAGCACACTTAACACCGCATACGAAGTCTAATGTATGTGGTAACTCTAAGAAAATAAATCCTCTATTTTGGTAGTATCCGACTGAGGGCCGACTTTGGTCAGCAATCAGTTAAACTGGTACGTTCCCTGTATCTAGCATTCTGGAAGCGGAAAAATAGCATTTTTTACGTCAGCATCCTTTTAAAGTCATATTCTGGCATCCAAGGTTTTCGGATTTCATTATGACAGGATTGGAATATTTTTGAAAACTCTATTCTTTAAAGTTTCTCTTAAATATACAGATTTATGGATTGTTCAACTGGTCTGGTTATTAACTTAATATCGGGAAATTTTGTATTCATGTCAAAATTAGATTAAAATTTTATGACTTGTCGAATCCTCGAAATCTTGCTATTCATATGCTTTGCATTTGTTCATTAATTTTTCCTTTCCCTACAAAGAAAGTCTCAGTGCACAGATGATGGATGCAAATCCTTGCCGTTGCATACTGATTTTACGGATGACTAAACCCAACGATTTCCACGCTTTTGAAAACAGCTCTCTTCGTTTTAAACGTCAACAAGTACTCCTACGTGGCGAATAACAACCCGCGTTTACATGTGTTCTCCAAGACTTCCAGACGGCGCGTCGCATACCTTCTCTGTTTGTTCCCATGAAGAGGCTTTCTGATTCTCACAGATGCTGCTTAACAAAGGCACTTTTGTTTTCTTTCCACATGGACTATGACCCGATTGGTGAGGGTATCATTACAAATCAACAAAACGCAAGCCCCACAAGTGATCAATTGTTAAGTATGGCATCGACGTCTGTGAGCGAAAAGATGTAACCAAGAAGACAGGATACTGTTTCGCCAGAAATGATATGAATGATGACAGTGGAATCCTTGTTAACATGCGTACAGTATGTGACCTAGCTCATCAAACTTGATGACAAAAAATTAGATAATCCGTTTTAGGCGCCTATTCGCCTAACTCGTTCCGGAAAATGTCTTCTTCGCATGCGATTCATGTTTACGAGTAGCTTTGTCTGGCAAAATACTAAAAAATTTAATCGGAAAGTCACATTGCCTTACATTTTGATAGTTTCCTATGCAAATAGAGGTTCTATACCAACTTTACGGATCCGCGCCTGTTTTCTATTAGAGGGGTTAATGAGAACTCGAGAGTTATTCCAAACAAAACTTGCTGCACTTTGAAAGGGATTTTTTTCGGTGTAATGCTGATGGTTCTAGATGTAACAGGAGTTATTTTTAGAAAGCTAGATGTTTAGTCAATTTTCAAAAGTTACCACAGAACACTTTATGCATATTAATAGAAATTCCTTGTCCCAAAAGGTGCTATATGTTTATCAAAAATGAATAAAATATTTCGTGAAAGCATTTGCGAAAGTAATGAGTGTTTAGATATTCTTTGCTGTGTCGATGACCGTTTGCGCACCAACATGAAATCTCATAGACGAGAAAAATAAATGCCCACAGCCAAATTCGGCCATGAATATGCCTTATATCGATTAAAAAACTTTTTCTAGTAACTTTCTTCTTTAAAAGCGCTTTAACAAGGTATTTCGCTGACAGATAGTCACGACAAAAATCCTGACGTTTTATCGGCCTTTTCACCTCACTGGAAATGACTGATAGTTTTTCTTCTGCGAACGAAAGAACTCGCCTTCATCTTCGCATTAGAGCAATTTTCGTTATATTTTTGCATACTTAGGTGTTCCAATCAACAATTATACATGTACGACAGGATGATCATATACGTGTGTATACATATGAAGATACTTCCAAAACTGCCAGCTTTTTGCCCTTGCCATTTATAAACTGGGACTATACAGACTATACAGAAATATCTTATCATAGGCTTAAAATTTAATATAGCAACTTGGTGGATGGCCTTTCTGCGATAAGTTACTCAGTATTCGCGAAGAGCAGGAAAATATCGAGACGTTTAAACAGAAGATTGTCCTCATGCCTTATTTCTATGCTTTTGGAGCATGAAATCACACACATTTGCAAATCTGATTTTAATAGGCGTTTTAGCAGATTTTAAGTAATTCGTTTAGACCGAGTTAAGAAGGACTCGGAGCCCTTTGTGGGATTTGGACTCACGACAGCAATGGCAGGGCTTGAGTACGGCCAACGCCCTAGACACCCGGTTCTAGTTTCAGTTTATTTGTGAGAAACAGAGGTGTTGAAACTTTGAACGCCCCATTTATTACAAGGAAGTGAATTATATCAAAAATTTTAAAATGGATACATCAAACAGCTACAGAAGTTTTTTTCAGATTGGCAATGTTTTCGAAACCAGACAGATAAACGAGTTGTTCTAAGTGTTAAAAACATTAACGTTACTAAATGTGCCTTACAGTAGTCTGACTATGAATAATTGGTGCTTCCTCAGTTTCCGAGGGAGACGAATTTAATGCCAGCACTCACATTCAACGGATCTGAGACAATAATTAAAACAAACGTTACTGAAATAGAGGCAGTAATATAATAACAATAATAAACTTTGAACGAAATGCTAAGACGGTGTCGGTCAGGTGACATTATGCCATTTAGTGGTACACTGGTCCAACTTTCGCTTAAAAGCCTCGACGGCGATGGACATGACGACATCTGCAGGCAGAGCATTCTAAGCCTCGATCACTCTGTTTGAAAAGAAGAACTTCGGAATGTCCAGGTCGATTACATAGTAAATCTTACTTGGACGGTCAGCTTACTGTATCAGAATTTGTGGATTCCATATGTTGCAGAAGGCTGGGCGGGTAACTTGACCCAAACATGACTGAAAGTCCCAGCTCCGGTGGGACGTCCTAGTTCAGATAGATACGGTATTGACTGCACTCAAGCCCCACGCTTGATGTCTTGAGTTCGGACCCCACCGAGGTCACTGAGTTTCACACAATTGGGACAAAATAAAAACTACACTTTCCAAAATAGATGAAGCATCTGGTTTTCCAAACGTAAACTTCTTGCTTACAACTTGCTCCATCTGATTTACGTGGGGAAAAATCGCTTTCCAAGTGCGGCAAGTTTAGTTTGGTACTATTCTCGAGTTTGTATTAATTCCCTCTAATAAACAAGCACACCCGACTCCGTAAACTTAGTATAGGGCATCTATTTGCATAGGAAACCAGCCAAATGCAAGGTGATGTAGATCTTCGCTTAAATCTGTTGATATTTTGACTGATAACATTACTTGACAACATGCTTTGCATGCAAAAAGAACATTTTCCGGAACGAGTTAGACGACTAAATAAAATGAGCAGTATTCTAGGCGCTTAGTACCGGTTGTCTCAATTTTCGTTTTTACGTTTCCTGAGTTTAACCCAAACGGCCATCGGCATTACTAAGAATATCCACGAACTCGCTACTTCCGCAAATACTTTCATGGAATATTTTTATTGGAAAGTTTTGATAAACACATAAAACAGAATCCACCTTTAAGGGCTATCCATTGATAACACTGAATTTCATGAGGTATTCACCGACATTTTAAGGTAAATCTGAAACTCAGCGTGCTCCAACACAAGACAAGAACTTAGAGGAATTGCACGTAACTAATTGTACTACTGATGTGCACAGAATGGTATGTTTGCGATTGCACCTGCCAGTTCTCTCTAAATTCATTAGTCGCTGACAGGCCTGTCAACGTGTGACCTAACAAAAACTTTTATTATTCTGACGTCCCTATCGGCGAAACCAAGCGAACTCCTGGTAGCCCTGGTCGAGCGCGTCTCGTACAATGTAAAAGCGGTAAAACTGCGAAAAAGTCTTGTAAAACCGTTTTGGACTCTAAACTCAAGCTTTAGGTTGTTGTCAAACCGCCAAAATTGACATAACAGTAATTCCAACAGGATATCTAAGTACGAACTTCCCCAGAGGACTACAGTAGATGTGCTAACTCATGAAATGTCAACCAGAATTTCGAAATGCGTTCTCGTTTCGAAAAGACAAATTAAGTAGTGTTGTAAAACTAATCATGATGCAGCATAAATCTATGATGATCCAGTTACCTCAGGGTGTCGGCTTTCGAAAGAACTTACTATCGGCTGCATGCAAGATCTATACTCAGCAAAAAATGACCACTGAAGTAGTATGTAACTTTATCAATGATTTTCTATGCCCTTTAAAATTCAATTATATTTCATGGAAAACATGCATAAAAATATTCATTCCCTTACTTATTCAGTAGAAAATCACGTCTTCTTCCAATTTCATACTCAAAAGAAGAGTATAATTCGGTTTTAAAAAAGTTTCTAATTGTGAGATTTTTTAATACCGTTAAATGGCCGTTCATGTAACGTCATGTATCTGCATTTACGAATGTGACTTGTAAAGTTAACAATATTGCTCAAATCCACTGCTTAATTTTATGAACCTCATATGGTCTCCTCTTAACAACATAGAAAAATGCATGCAATATTGTTAACTTTACAAGCCTTATTCGTAAATGCAAATACATGACGTTTCATGAACGGCCATTTAACGGCATTAAATAATCTCACAATTAGAATCTTTTGCAAAACCGAATTATACTCTTCTTTTGAGTATGAAATTGGAAGAAGACGTGATTTTCTACTGAATAAGTAAGGGAATGAATATTTTTATGTATGTTTTCCATGAAATATAATTGAATTTTCAAGGGCATAGAAAATCAATGGGGAAAATTGCATACTACTTAAGTAGTCGTTTTTTGCAGAGTATAGATCTTGCATGCAGCCGAAAATGAGTTCTTTCGAAAGCCGACACCCTGAGGTAACTGGTTAATTATAGATTTATGCTACATCATGATTAGTTTTACAACACTGCTTAATTTGTCTTTTCGAAACAAGAACGCATTTCGAAATTTTGATTGACATTTCATGAGTTAGCACATCTACTGTACTGTTAAACATTATCCTATGCATGCCGTTTTGTGGACAGGCTTTCCATACGTCTTAAACGTCAGCTTAGTCAGTCACAACGATTTTTAACTTTGTTGGACTTCTGGCTTTCCAAGAATTAAATTGGTCTTTATGAACAACGGAATATCACTTCTGTTATTTCTTCTATTTTTTCAATTTGTTTAAAGTCGCCCATTATAAATTCGGAGTCTTATTTCACACGTTTTTGCCGGTTTGGTAGTAGTGAATAGTGTCTCGTAAATTTCGACACATTTAATTCGTCAGAAAATTTACTGTATTTTTAGAGACAAATTAAGACAAATGCATATTTGCATATGCAACGACCGCGAATTAAGGACCAGGACGTTTATTTAATTAAACAGATATTGTGTTTGGATTAACATAAAGGCGATTTAGAAAGCCAGAAGTCGGACGTATGATATTGGCGGCGAATGACGGGGTACTTCCCGTTCGTGTCAGTGAATTAGCCCTTTTGCACTATCAGTTGCTGTACTTTACATGCAAGTAAACAATTAAAGAAACGGACTGTTTTTAATTCGGCATATCAAAAAGGCGAAGGGCATTAATTGTAACGTTGGGAGTACAGCTTTTCTTGTCACTCGGGATAGGAAAAATGAGAGGATTGTCTTGTTGGCGTTGTTGTAGGTGAACGCGAACGAATGCCTCATTAAACGCCCAGCAAGCGAAAATGTTTTAGGAGAAAGTACAACCGAGAAGGTCGGATGAGGGTCAGTAGCTCTTCTTTTGTGACACTTAGTTTTGCCAAGTTTTAAATTTTCCTCGGATGCACTGAGATTTAAAAAGCGGAAATTTTTACTAATAGAGCACACATAGTAGTTGAAATATCTACGCAGTAGATTAGGTGGTTCTTAGACTGCATGAAAACAGAATTCTCGAACCCGCAAATTTTTAAAATAACCGCATTTGAGGTCCTGTTGGAGTATCAGACATCGACTCTTTTAGGTTCCTTCTTATGCTCGGTCAAAAGGTACTGATGTGGCAAACTTCAGCAAATTAATAAATTCTATTGCATCTGTAAGGAATAAAAGGCACTTTACCCCCCAGACTTATCGTAAAATTGGCGCGGTAACCAGCTTTATTTTTCAACCAATCAACCATTTTGGTTTATTTTTTCATCAATTCACATATTTTTATAATCCAAATTTGACACATTTCGGTGCAGACTGATTAAGTAAAACAATTTTTGCCTCCATCAAGGGATGCCTCAACAGCCTAAAGAACATGATTTTTGATAGATTGAACATTATGTTCAACAGTTGACCGAGAACCGTTTCAATTATCAGGCTCTGTTCTGGTCCGAGGTTGTGAGACGGGGCACTGAGGATAAAAACAATGGTAGAGGGGCGCTCACCGATCGTGTTACGAAACTCACTCGTCCCCTTTTGCCTTAGACCTCTTTCCCGAGTCCAATCAGCAGCCGCACAGTGACGCATGATGCAGGCAAAATGGCATTACCAGCAAAGACAAGGAAGACGGGAATGGCCATTACGGGTATATTAGCTGTTTCCAGCCAGTCATACCCAACGCCGAAGTATGGGACATCTGGGGTTCGATCCCGCTACCTGCTAGATAGAAGTCCAACGCTTTTAACCGTTGAGCCCCAGGTGTCCCACACTTCGGGCTTAGGTATGACTGGCTGACGACGGCTAATAAGTCAGGAATGCCCACCTCAGTCTCCCTTGTCTTTGTCGGTAATGTGAATCTGCCGATTCCAAACAATCTAGAAGTGGTCGTTTCAGCACTTTTTCCTTTTATCAACAATACTACTGTCATCTAGGCTCCTTGCCGAAATGAGACAGATTTCGTGCACAATGGACAGGATGTCCAAGACCAAAAGAAAAGTGCCTTTTTCTTCCTGAAGTCGGAACATTCTGGTAAACTATGTCCCCATGTATACAGTCTAAGTGTTTGGGCTCTTACTCATGAACTAACGATTGATTTTGAAACCAAATTTCCCCGAGTTCACCCAGAGCAGCTGCTGATACTGGATGTCATTTGAATGCCACTGACCTTGGAGATACTAAAGCTTTAATTAGTAAATTCCTGTCATGGGCAATTCATTAATATTTCGGCATGCAGATTACTTTCATTTTCGACAATTTTTTTCTATAGATTAAAGTTGACAAAATTCATCAAATAAGTGACAGATTGCGTCTGAGGACTGTCAGCGTTCATTTTTGAATTTCAGTGATTTATAGGTCTCTCACTCGAATCAGCAGTACTCCATGCACACATCTCGATTCTAGTGACATGTTGCGCATCTACTCATATGTTGCAAGTAGACGGTTCTACGCAATCAACAATCGAGGGGATCAGCAGTGTGTCTCCGAATGAGCGAATAGCCAAGGCGTACCTGTGGGGTAACCCTAGGGTTTTATGTGCAACTGACGGTAAAAAAAATAACTCAGCAGGTAAATTAAAACGCCAGATTCATAAACCTGGAGTTCCACCAATTAGAACCTACAACCTGTCTTGTTTAAAAAGGAGAAAACACATTCCGGTCTCGATTGTCTCTGGCGGTACTATCTCATTTACACATTGGTATCAGTAGGATACTAGACTGTGTTTGTGTTGTGGCAATATAGTGGACCTGGGGTGTCCAGTTTGGGTTCATGTGAAGGTCGTAGTACGTCGCTTCACTTGCTTGCAGATGTTGACCACGCATAGCGTCCATTAACTGACACCCAACCGTCACATTTTGCTCCCCGAGGCTAGGTTCCGCCTAGCTGCCACACCTCCGTAATCCCTTTGACCGAAAGGGTAAACTAGGTGAGAGTATCCGGTGTTATGTGTCCCCACACCCACTACCCCCTGTTTCACATCCAATACTCCCTCTCTCTCCCATCTCCCTCTCTTCATTCTCCCACTTCAAAAAGTCCTACGTAGAGGGTGACATCCAAGCCCGTAGACGGCCCTGGCTAACCCGGGTCGCTCCCCCACTAAATCGAAATTTGACAGGGATCTGGAATTTCCCAGCAGCCCTATTTAAGAGCAGCACTGCTTACCTGCTCGCAAGGGAAATGGGTGGAAAAGGTGCCCTAAGCAAATGCCGGGATCACGTCATCTGCATGCAGACCGTGACTCGCAAATGAACAATTCACGGCCGAAACAATTAAACAAACTAAAACCCACGTCCCCAGTCCCCGGCACGCCCCACAGGCCACCAGAGTGAGTTCACTTACACTAGCAACCTGACATGCTCGTTCTCTTTTAGACGATTTGATAAACAGTTGGCCGGGACTAAGGACGCTCGAGAATTGGCGCGCTACAAGGCGGACATCGCTGCTCTCAGTGACATCCCGTTCTCCGAACAAAGCTGATTCGGAGGAGACGGTGCCGGTTACACTGAAAGACAGAGCGATGCCACGGTGGCGTCACCTTTGCCATTCGGAAGGGCATTGTGGGACGATTGCTCTGTTTGTCTCAGGTTGACTGATGACGCCTGCCTCCTCGGGGATCTAAATGCGCCAGCATCATCAGGGCCCCACCAATGACCGTCTCAGACGAGGCGAAGACACAGTTCTTCGAGGACCTGCACGTCCTCCTGGCGCGTGTCGAAAGCGGATAAGTTGGATGTCCTTGGTGATCTCGGCGTCCGCGACGGGATAGACTGAACTGCTTGGAGGTGAGTACTGTGTACTTACGGGATCGGCTACTGCGACGACAACAGCCTCCTTCTCTTGCGAGCCTGCGCGGGATACCACCTCCCGCTGAACTTTCGCCTGCCGATGCGGGAGAGAGCTACCTGGATGCACCTCCCAACGCGGCGCTGGCAGCTGCTGAACCATGTTTTCGTCCGGAACCGCGATTGACAAGAAGTGCTGGTGACCAAGGCGATCTGCAACGCCGATGGCTGGACGGACCACCGCCTCGTCCTCTCCAAGATGAGGTCCCGTCTGCAACCCTGCGGAAGGCCACAAGGTAAGCGACCACCAAGTAAGTTGGGCACTGTTCTGTTGAATTTGGTTACTCATCGTTTACATCTGAGCACTCAGTCCGCCCAGCACCTGAGAAACTTCCAGTCCAAAACGACAATACCATCATGGAAACTCGGTAGTGTCAACAGCGGAATGCCATCCACTTTACTGTCCTGGACATCCTCAGCCTTGCGTGTCGCTAACACCAGGACTGGTTCGACGACAACGCCGCCGACGTCAGTAACCTGCTTGACTGGGAGAACAGAGCGTATCGAGCCTAACTCGACCGGCCGACAGATTCAAACAATGCGGCCTCCCACAAATGTCATTGCCTTGCGCACAGGATGCGTGAGTAGCTCATAAGGCCTAGGAAATCCAGAGTCATGTCGACCGCACTGAAAAGATGAACTTCTTCGCTGAGATCAAGGGGCTCTACGGTCCCCCAAAGAAAGGAGCCATGCCGCTTCTCAGCTCCGATGGATCAGTGCTTTTGACGGAGAAGTCGCAAATTCTGAGGCACTGGGCCGAGCATTTCAGAAGCGTCCTTACTCGCCCCTTTACAATCTCCGACGCCGCCATCTATCGGCTCCCCCAAGTGAAAATCAACAGCGACCTGGATCCCCTGTTCTGCCTTTCAGAAACCTCCCGTGCCGTGCAACAACTGTCTAATGGGAAAACACCAGGCTCTAGTGCGATTCCAACTGAAATCTACGAGCACGGCGGCCACCGACTAATGGATTACCTCACAACGCTCTTCCAGGAGATGTGACGCTGCGAACGAGTTCCTCAGGATTTCAAGGACGTAGCAGTCGTTCACCTCTGCAAGCAGAAAATAAATTGACATGACAAAAGCAGAGGGATCTCTTTGCTCAAAATCGCCGGGAAGATCATCGCCCGTATTGTCCTCGACTGGCTCAACGGCCAGCTAGGACAAGGACTTTTGCCAGAAAGTCAGTTTTGATTCCGGCGTCATCATGCAACCGCCATCATAATCTTTGCCGCCCGCCAGCTGCAAAAGAAATGTCAGGAGATGCGGACTCACGCCTGCACCAACGTTGGGGACTTTACGAAGGCCTTCGACATGCAACTCACGAAGGAATGTGGAAAATCATGAAGTTTGGTTGTCCTAAACGATTTACGCATATAGTGCGTCAACTCTACTACGGAATGTTGGTGGCCGTCACGAACAACGGCACAGTCTTCGGTGCATGCGAAGTGAGCATGGAGTGAACCAGGGGTATGCAGAAGTGCTCGTCCTCTTCCGTCTCATGTTTTCTGCTACGCTGATGGACGCCTACCGTGATGAGCGCCTCGGGATCCGCATCGCCCGTGGGACCGACGAACACATCAACAGCCGGCGAACGTAGGCTGCGACGTGCCTCTCCATGGCTACTGTCCATGATTTGCTCTTTATCGAAAACTGCGCGCTCAACGCTACGACCGAAAAAAGACATGCCTTAGGTTGCATCCACATCGGACTGACCATCAATGCTAACAAAGCTGTGGTCATGCATCAGATGTCAACGCACACTAGGCACAACATCCCTCGCACCCACGTCAACGACACAATACTAAAGACCGTGGACATCTTCACCTACTTAAGCAGCACACTTCCATTCTGCATCAAAATAGACGACGAAGTGACCCACCGGATCTCCAAAGACATCCAAGCCTTCGTGTGGGAATGCTACGGTCCTCACCTCAACACGAAGTTGAAAGTGCACAAAGTATCATTTTGGTGACGCTGCTGTATGGAGCGGAAAACTGGACAGTCTACACGAAACACACGCGAAAGCTCAGTCGTTTCCAACTCATTTGTCTCCGATGAATACTAAAGCTGAAGAGGCACGATAGGATTCCTGACACGGAAAGTGTCGAGCATTCAGGAATCCTTAACACCCATGCCATGCTGAGGCAATTACAACCGCGTTGGAGCGGCCACCCCGTAAGGTTAGGATATACACGTCTTCCAAAAGAACTTTCCTATGGTGATGTCACCACAAGTACCCGCCGACAAGGAGGTGAAAGCAGTCGCTACAAGAACATCTTGAAAAACTCCCTAAAGCGTTTAAATATTAACCTGGAAACTTAGGGGGTTCTGGAGAACTAATGTGAAGACAGGATCAGCAATCTACGAAAATAACCGGCTCTCTGTCACAAAAATTCTGAGGAAGGCTCGCAAGTCACAAGTGCCTCGCCTCTACAGAGCCAACAGCCAGCCGCCTCCTACGTGCTCTCGCTGCTCTCGTTTGGCGCGCGAATCGGCCTTGTAGGACACGTGTGGGAGCAGTGCTACATCAAACCGGCAATGTCAAATTCTGCTTTCACGAACACCCTTTGTATCGCCTCTGCCGCAAACCCTACGACGATGCCGTCCACCATCCACATCATTGGTGGCTACACTGTTGATGCACCGCCGCCATCGGTCACCACATCATCCGCTCTGTCCTGCATCTATCACAGCGACCGACTCCGCCAACATTACGATCTCTAGTACCGATGCGACGACGCCCGACGTCCAGTCATATACTACTATCACCAGCAGCACCCCCTTTCCAGCGATGTGGACTCGGTTACACCCGTCCCCACTGAGATCGCACATTCGTCTCACACATCGCCCTGGTCGGTCGGTTGAGGATTCATCTAACGGAGAATGGCGAACCAGTGCCTGGAGCACCCACATACACTCGCAGCATTCGCCTCAACTTCCCTCACTGCATCCGCACATTCGCCCACCGCATGGACATATTAGGTCACATGCGCACTCATGACAACGGAGTTCACCGCAGTATCGAGACACCTTGCATGCCCGCCATGCCTAGTCCAGTCAACACCCTATCGCCCACATCGCTCACCACTAGCAACAGCAGCGCCACCACCACCACCGTCACTGAAACCGACTCTGATGTTCCCGACCTGTTCCACCCACACCGTCACCACACACTCACTTCACGCATCGGCCTGGTCGGTCGCTTGCGAATTCATCTAACGGAGACTGGCGAACCAGTGCCTGGAGCATCACCATACGCCAGGCGCACTCAACTGCCCGCCTTACCCCGCACATTCAGCTACTCCATGGTCCTACTAGGTCACATACGTATTCATGAAAGTCCACCGTAAATCACCGCAGACAGAACCACACCATCACACATTCCCCCACCAACACATGCAGCACACACACAGCCCTCCAAAATTCCACATCGTCTGCACCTCTCACGTACGCGGGTAGTGTGCTTTTCGGCTCCTTACACCATGTGGCTCCACGGCTGCATTTGGAATGTGTGCGTTGTACCCCCCTTGCGTGTGAAATCCACGTGTGTGCGTCTGGACGGTCAGGTCGTTCGTGTGGTGAGCGCAGACGAGCTCTCTGGCTCTGTCAGCCACTGCCCCCATTCCCCGCACCAGTCATGTGAGCGGCTCGAGCAGTGGTTGCGGCCTAGGAATGGGAAAAGAGGGTGAAGTCGTCAACTCAGCGCACTTTCCTCCCAACAAGCAATCTAACACTCTTGAAGCTATGCTGGTGCCCTAAAAATTGTGGCTTGGAAAGCTATTAACTGGCGGGATAACTCAGCCCAGTATTTGTTTGTGTGGATTGGCAAACTGGTGTTCCGAGAGTCAGGCTGTAATGGCTTCTTCTTAACGTGACCTCTGTGGAAATCCTACGCCGTGAGATACGAGCTGGCTGCGGCTGTACGCCTAGGGGCGGCTACGGTCGCGCCGCTCACCTTCGCCCCCTTACGCCTCCGGTCTTCTTCACTATGTCTCGACACCGGGCTCGGGTGGAAAAAGAATGAGCGAGGTAGATGCTTTGAGAGCCAACTATCACTATCAAAGAAATCACCCGTAAGTCACCGTGTCTGCTCTTACTCCGCTGCGGATCACGCGGTGGACGTCGCCGGTCACGACGGTCGGATTGTCGATTTTGAACCTACCGCGTTCTTCTATCGCCACTTGGTTTTACGTTCTTATTATGACAAACCCAAACGAGGATTTGCCAACTTGATCATTTGCACCTAGGACGTCGTCTGGAAATAAGTATCTTTCATTCATTCCACTTCCCTCAGCAGTCGCGGGTACATCATAGTATCTGGAACTAACTGAGGCGGGCATACCTAGTTTATTAGTCTGGGAAAAAACCAATCGCACTGAGATATTGTAGAAACACTGAGGGGACTTCGCTGCATATACGTTGTGAGCTCTCTCGTGTGACTAGGTCGGCATTACTTATCTGGCGAGAGAACAAATTGGTGTTATACTCCAGCAACACGTCTGTGCTGAGTTTCGTTTATTTGTCTGGACGGTGGAAAGTTTCCTTTGCACCAGAGTTAGGGACTGCTGACTGATAGTATGCTTCACTGGGGTCTGCATTTTAAAACTAGCCTACCTACAACAGACACGCCATTGGGCCTCTTCAATGACACTGTGACCAACGCACTTATTCCGACAGCAGTATGGATTTACGAAGCAACTCACCATTTGAAGCCGAATTCCATAATTTGTGACTGGCCGTCTATGTGAGTACTAAATCACCCTACACTTTTTGAATGCCCTATTTTCAGACACCTCGAAATGGTTCCCGACCCTCTTCATTTTCTTTCCTCCCTTCCTATGGACATACGCCTGCCACCGAAGATTTAGAGAGACAAAATGGACACCCGCATGCTTTTGAAAGATGCATTTAGCAGCCTTCGAAAAACTTCCGTTTTTGTTCTTTTCGGTCTGTGTACCAATCCGGCCGACTTTAAAGCAAGCTGTCTACGCACGGATTGGTTTCAAGGCCAAATGCGGGATGTGCACTGGTGCCTGCATGCGCACGCATACACGACTAAACTTGGTCTTCATATTCGTGGGCGTCTGGCCGAGTAACTGTTCTTTTTCACAGACGAAGGATAATCGATTTTTGTCTGCTGCGCCAATCATGACGCGATGATGCGCTGAAAAACGTCGCAGAAACAATGCTCCTCTCATTTACGCGCGCAGTGCGAGTTCCACTGTAACACGTGGGAGCTACGGTGACAGAGACAACCCACTCAAGTAGATTTTATTGGCTAGTACGTTGTTACGCATTTACTTTTCCTTCGTTTATTTATTTTAATTGTATGGCAGGCATGTGAAATTTCTTTTCCAATTTAGACTGACTTATCGGCACCAATATGGTATGGCTCTAAAGCATACTAGTGTGTCCAGACAATAGAACTTCTGTCCCCTAAGGCTCTTGCTTTTTGTATTCCTTTAAATATTTACCTGTTAATTAACTTTTACGAATTGGCAGAAATAAATACCCTTAGACTCACCAGGCGGGGGCTCTTCATATCCAAAAGCGGCGTCTACATGGTGTTTCGTCTTCGAGATTTTCGACCAATGGTTTAGGTTTTGGATTGTGTCAGGAGCGCACCGGGCAACGGTATGGAAAAAAACCCCACTTTACTGTCGGTAGACTGTAGATCGTGTCATACGTGATTCGTGATAAGTGGAGTTTTACGTGTAGGACAGCACAATAGACAGTAAGCTGACGAAATGCGGCAAAACACAGAAATTGTTTGGGTTTCTCCTGAAAGGCTCATCGTACGCTTTCGTACAACAACGGAACTGAGCGCGGTAATTAAAAATAAACAAAAAGTGAACTTCAAAAGAAGGAGTTCGAGTGATGGTTTGAAGTCATGGCAAGTAATGTTTATTGGCAGTGTAATGTTTGCAAAGGCCTGCGAATGGACGTCAAGATAAAAACCCATATGGCGTGATCCGCAGTCTGCCGTCAGTTAAGTGGGTTCCTTCTCCATACCGTTGCCGCGCACCATTTACGACTACTCATGTCATTATAGGCGATGATGGCATGGCTAACTGACATTAACGGATTCGGTTTACAAAAAGTAATTTGTGTGGTTTTATTGACACTTAACTTTCCGGTTCTCAATTCATAAGTGCGCAAATATTGTTGGCCGTGCGTCCAGTTTTGAATCACCACTGTCCCCGTCACCGCAGTCTTTCTAGTAAGAATCAAACTTCTCCAGATCTCTCTTAACAGCGACGGTCCTAAGTCGCAGTTAGTCACCGAGGTCAATTCATGCCCGAGGTCAGTCATACTGATGACTAGCCGAGGTAAAGACTGAGACATCGAATACAAAATGATTGAACAGTCACTTCTAAGGTTTAGATAATAGTATGATGTTCCATGTCAGATTCGGGGGACTATTTTGTGTTGGCATACATCTAAGCAGTAAATTTCAAAGTTCTTAGAAAAACTATCCGCCAGTCGAAGCCCTCTGTGAAAAAGTCAGGCCAAACAGCGGTTGGGCTAATGCAAGTAAAGTAGGTGGCGTAATTCTAAATTTATGAAACATTTCTAATTGCTCGGAAACTGGTCAAAATGCAACGACCAAGACTCTCAAATAACTATGAG